TTTAGGCCCGATTTCACCAATTAAGATTAATTTCGATCTCGGTTCAATTTACTCTTTATCTCTTTTTAATTCTGAGAGAATTATAAATTAGATAAATAGTAAGTTCAAATTAAATTAAAATTAATTATTTTGCTAAATTTAGTCAAATGAACATTTTTTTTCTCATTATCAGCGCATATATATATATATATATATATATATGCACAATATTAACAAAGCGCACGAACAATGTAAGGTGGAATAGGATAAAACAAATAAAAATACGCGCATGAGAGATGCGTGCGACGCGATATGAGAGGAGAAAAAAAGGAATGGAGGCAGAGCGAGATCGAAGGATTAAGGACCTTCCCCAGGCTTTTTCCAAGCCCGCGCGTTTCGTGCGGAGCGTTTTACGAGACTAATGATCTGGACGACCACGCGACGTGTCACGCGTCTCCCCCTGGAACGGCATTGTCGTGCTTTTTCATCGCACAGCTCCGGACAGCTCGCGTTTCAGCCCGCGCGCGACGCGGGTGCCTACGTGCAAAGGCTAATACCTTTTTCAGCCCGGCCGAATGGTCAACGAACTTGGGGCTCTCGCCCTTTCTCCTTCCCGCGAAGGTTCGCGCGCTCTCGTTTGTACTTTCACGTACGGAACGTTAGGGTACATTTCCCGTCTGATTTACGGGCGATCTATAAATACAGGCGTACATCGGCGTGCGCGAATCAATGGGGAATACTACGTACACGCGCGTGTGTTTGGTGCCTCTGTGGCTGCGAGGACGCCGGGATTTACACCACCTGCCTACCCTTGAAGAGTTTCGGAGTAGCGGGAATACGCCGCTTTAATAATTCGCAAAATCTATTTTCGTACGATTATGACGCTCGTCTGGGGTTAACTCCAGTCGAGAAAGTTTTTATCCATGATTTTTTTCCCTTGCGAATGTAATTTTTATCTATAGAAGGTAATAGTGCGGGTGAATCGTACTAAGAGTCTGGCCCATTCGATCTAGATTTAAATATAGCCCGCACGACAAGTAGATATGTTGTCATATCTAGAGACACGAAACTAATTGCCGAACAATGTGCCATTATACAGTAAAAATTTATGTATTTGTGTTGGAAACAGTCCACTCACGTTTGTGTTAATAGTTTGTGTTGAATTTTTTAATATATTCGAGTGTTAATTTAACATAATGTGATTATGTTATTTAAATATTTTTTGTGAAATTGGTATTCAATGTTTCTTAGTATCAAAATAACACAATTTATGAGTAAGTGAACGAGTAACATAAAAATAATGTATTTTAAAACGTAAATTTTAAGACAAATGAATGAAATATGTGTTAATTTAACACACACACACATATCATAAATTTTAATTTTCAGAAAAAAAAAATGTTCCCTCGGTTTGTTGTGACAAATTGTGTCGATGTTATCTTTGTTTGTATTTATTCTTTTACATAATGTTTGTGTTATCTTCTAGCATATTCATCTTGTGTAAAATTAATTCAAAAATTTGAGGGGACCGTTTGGGACATGCGATTTATATTAAATTCAACACATTTTTTTTCAACTGTACTACCTATAATATCGATAATTTCTTCAAACTGTTATCCGTGTGTTAAAATTGTGATTTTACATATCGCGTTGCGACACTGGTAGTTTTACTTAAGTTGTCCAAATATAAAATACAAACTATGAAACATAAACTAATGCGTAAGTGGAGCTACAATTCTTAACTTTTACAGAACGCGGGAAAGTTTTACTGTAGTAGCGCTGAAATAATCATATTTTCTCAAGTAAGAAATACAATGAAATTAATCTGTAAAATTTTAGAAATAGATTTCGCTAGAAAGAACGATTTTGCTGAAAGATCTAAAATTTTGCTGGATACAGGGCTGAAAATAATTCTGTTGGATCATCAAAATAATTATGTTGGAAACTAAAAGTGATGAATAATGTTGTAAAAAATTTTGATATTTTAGATAGCAATCAGTTTGAGTTTCCAATAAAATTATTTCGATCAAACACAAAATTATCTTCAGATCTGCATCCAATAATATTCCAGATCTTTGAACAAAATCGTTCTTTTCGTGCGCCCTTTAAAAATTATAACAACTGGATAATAGTTTAAACAAATCATCGATATAATGACGCACTATTCAGATAAATAGTTTCGTAACTGTACTTTAGACAGGTATTTGAAAGAAATGTCCATAAATGAGAGATGTAGAGGCGAGCTCTCCATCTTCCAGAACTCGTGACAAAAAATTTCCCTGTTCGGATAATTTTCGTAAGATTTTTGCCGTTATGAAACCGGCGTAAAAACGTGAAACTTGAGATATGGAGTCGCCGGTAAAATTCAATCGTTCTCTGGCGTAGAGAGGGCTGCAGAGCTGACGTTATTCAAATAATCTCGACAACGCGTCGTCCTCGATCAACGAACTCGAAGGCGCAAATGAGCGCGACGTCGTCGTCACCGCGTTCGTCTCTTATCGCCTCTGTAATAATTTAGGATTTATCGACTTTTTTTTCACCGCCGAAGCGCGAATCGTCGATACGCATAAGGCAAGACTCTCCTACCTTTTTTTTTACGAGATCAATTTTAAATAGTCTGGCATTGAGCCGTTCGAACCATTCGCTTTTAAAACCAGATGCTGTTTCTAGATCATTTCCTTTAAATGAATTCGTAAATTCTTTTTCGTCCGAAAATAATCCTATCAATCCTATCGGATGCATGGATCTCCTTTTCGCAATCTTTGAAAGGCCTCACACTAATCATATACCTAAAAAAATGGTTTCAGTCAAAAATGAAACTGTGATATTTTGTAGATTATAAAATGCTGATAAAAAAATACAACCATAAAAAATGAACAGATTTTGCTTGACCATGAAAGTTGCTATTTTTTTAAACGGACTGAAAAATACTTTATCTACTAAGCTATTTATTTCTGATATTATGTACTTTCTAAATTCATTGGAGTGAGATTCACTCCAAAAAATTTAGGGAATACCTTAATACTTTTATGTATAGAATAATTAAATAAATCAATTGGTACAAAAAGCATGTAGTTCTTTTTCAAAGAATATATAGTTGCATATTGCAAATTGCATAATTTTTTTAAAAGCGATCATACGTTTTTTTTACGTCAATTGAGTCATCTTATTATTTTGTGCAAAAGTATTAAGATACAGTTACCAAAGAATAAATAGTTCAGTAAATAAAGTTACATTTCAGATTAGATCCAAAATAGTAACTTTTAAATGGTGCTATTGTAAATTCTATTGTAAATTCCATTTTTTATGATTGTGCCTAGAGACTTTTGATCAGCACACACACACACACACACACACATTTCATAATCTAAAAAATATCATAGTTTCAGTCAATTTGATCGAAGCTATTTTTGCCATATGATTTGTGCGGAATTCTAGAGTCGTCAAAATAAAAACTGCAAGTTAAATAGTTAAAATTCCTCCAGATTAAAAATTACGTTTGTGGTATAAAATGCGATTTCGTTATCTACGCGCAGCATAAAAAGACTATTTCGCAAAGGCGTCACCCGCTTCTCGTCAGGTTTGTAATAGTAATTCAAAAAAGATTTTATTGCCCGGCAATCTTTATTCGTGAAAAAATTCGAATTATTGAAATAATCCGCGGCTCATAAAAGCGCGAGGAATTTGGAACGCCTTATATATCGTTGATATTTTTGCATCAATTTATGATACCTAAACGCAGCACCGTGCTTTCGCAATACACCATATATTCTCATTCGTTCTGTCTTCATGTATCGCCCATACAGAGCCAATACAAAGTATCGTATTGTAATTTTCAGAAGAGATATTTCGATAATATTCTTCTCGTTCTTCTCTCGAGTTACAATAGAAATTAAGTGTTTCTAAGTAGCAAGGTAAATACAAAATTTAGGATTGGCATTATGATACGTTAATATATAAAAAAATACTTTGATTATATTGCTATTATAATAAAATAGCATTTTAAAACGAAAGAAAATGCAGAGGATGCAGTTGTACTGTTAGATTTGTAATATCAAATTATATCTAATTTGAGTTATTTTTAATTATTCCTGTAGATCGCCACTGCTCCTGTAGAGGCATTCGACATTAATTTAACTAAAACAATAAAGTTAAACAATTTAACTAAAGAAATGTATTAAATTTTACTCAAATTTATCACTTTTTATCACTTAGTGCATACGTTAATCTGAACGCTGTCCACTTTCAAACTAATCACAGACATGAATTAATTAGATGTGATTGTTTTTTTAATCACATGTATTTGTAATAAGGAGATTCTTCGGTCATTTAACATAATATAGGAACTTGATCAAATTTTGAGAATAAATTTATTATAAAAATAGAGGCATTACTGAATTTTTTCAAATTTTTTGACCATCTGGATCAAAAATTTATATTTCAATAAAAAGTAATATTTTTTAAATTTATACTCTAATAGAAAATGTATTACAAAATAATGATAAAAATCTCAATTTTTTTTATATAAGTACTATATGAATTCAAAAATATTTATGTAAAATTACATTGAGATGCAGACATTAATTGTTCAGTAAATAAACAAAATATTTGTTATAAACTAATTGGTGAATTTCAACGAAACTTTGCATAAGTCATGTTTAGTACTTAATATATTTATATAAAAAAATTTAGATTTTTGTTATTTAAAAAAAAATTTTTGTTTATAACAATAAAACTAATAACAAATAAAATAAATAATCTATAAAAATGTGTTGCTCAATGAAAACAGAATGTTATGAACACAACTTTCACATGTATGTAGTTTGTTTAAAGCGTAAATATTAATATATGTATGTGTTTCATAACTGGAGAACCTCCTTAATAATATATTTCGACCCACTTGGAAATTAAAAATAACAAAATGTTATTTAATTCAAGGAAATGATTTAAATTTGTTCTTTTAATATTTAATAGTATACGATACTCTGTATTCTCGCCAATGCTATGTCGACCAGACCTACCTTTGAAGGATCAGGTATCCTCTGGAGCCCGAGGCCTTGCACGATACTCCTTCTGATGATCTCCAGCTCGTCGTCGCCGAGGCTGCATTCCTAGCTCTTCCTCTTCGACGTCGTCCTCGAGAACTGACGATGATGATGGCGCGGACAGCACCATGTCGCAGAGCAGACTCGTCGCGAGTCCCAGCAGAAGAGTTCGCTGGACGAGGCCGATCCTCGGCAATCTCCAGCGCGTGTCCGTCTTGGTCCGCCACGCACGTCCACCGGGATCGAGTTTCGCGGGAAATCGCACCGTAGACGACGTGTCTCTTTGGCGTACAATCTCCTCAGCGAGAACGCACGGTTGCTCCCTGCACGAGGATTCGACTATACCGATTTCGATCAGCCTGGCGGGATCACTGGTCCGAAGGTTCTCCGTGTTGACGTTCCGATCTCGCGGACGGTTGTCGACAATCCTCCGTTCACTTCATGGAGCACGATACTTGAAGTGTTGCTGGATAAGGTACGTCCATTGCACTTGGGAAAATCCGTAGTACCGACGAGCGGAGTCTCGAAAAACCGATTTTCTCTTCCTATCGTAATACTATTCACCGTGCTGCGGAATATCTCCTCACCTCCCGCGACGGACCTGCTGCGAGTCAGCAGGGTACTACCAGCTCGTCGATTCCGCCGTTCGACGGTAAGGTCGCGTATTATTCGGTCGCGGGCTGGTCCACGCCGCGCGAGAAACGTGGCCGCGTCGATCGAGACGCAACAAGTGCGGCGGTCGTCGTCGGCAGTCCTGACGTTCCAAAATCCTGCCGAGTCCGTAGCATCGAGAGCACAGCCCCGCTCCGTATAATCGTCGATAACGTCGATCCTTGGCGATTCGCTCGGGTCGCGATCCGTCACTCGGACGGCATCGTCTTTATTTTCCGCGTGCCATGTATTTCTACGTGGTCGCGCGATCGCGGCCAAAACGTCCCGACGTCTCCGACGTGCGATGAGATCGCTACGTGCGCTGCTGATCGGCTGCGACGTATCAACAATCCCCGAGCGCCTTCGAGTGTATTCTTCTCCTCTCGCCGATGCAATAAGGAATCGACGATCGGCGGCAGCGTTATCGGCGATTGCGCCGCTTGTCGTGCTGCATCGTGCATCCGCACCACCGACTACCACCGCTGCCGCCGCCGCCACCGTCGTCGTCGTCGTCGTCGTTGCTCTCTCTTGGCGCTCCTTCTGATGGTCCGCGTTGCTGTGAATAATACCACTTCGAGGGATTATTGGGAGCTTGTCCATAGCCAGGGACACAATCTCGTGGCCGGTCTCACGCCGGCTGCTCGAGTATCGGAGTGTGGGGTGCTGCTTTAAAGATTTTGCTGGTTCTCCGATAATATCGATTACTATCGAAGGCTTTACTGGATTCTTTTCTTCTTCTTCTTCTTCTTCTTCTTCTTCTTCAGGAGGTCCCTGAAGATGAACAAAACTAACTCCTCAAACTGGAGTTCCTAACTCCTTCAGCTGAAGCTCCTAATTCTTTAAACTTCTAACTCCTTAAACTGGAGCTCCTAATTCCTCAAACCGAAGCTCCTAACTCCTTGAATTGGAGCTGACACGGCCTGCTTGATGACTGGTCCTCCGTCGAGCGGCGGAGGATTCTTTGACGAGACAAATAATACTCCTAGATCCGGTTGATACCGGCTGATCCGGTTACTTCCGCGTTCACGGCGATCTCTCCGTAAGAGTCGTCTTCACGACACGTCCGATAGTGAGAGAATCTTGTGTTTCGCTGGTACGATCGAGCGACGTCCCCAATCGATCTCTTAGGAGTCCACGCGCGACATTCTAAGAGCGCGCCGTCGAGACGAAGATCGAAGCCGGATGTTCAACGGGGAGAAACTTCACGTTGTGTTTTCTCTTTCCGTTGGTAAATAGAGTCATCGCGTAAAATGTCGCGATTGATCGACGAGTAATTAATCCGTGGTGTAATATCGTAGAGCGGGTCCTTCCGACGATTTTTGCCGTCGAAGATTTTGCGAAGATTTTGCGTGGAAGATCGGAGATGAGCTTAAAATACTTCTGTCTCTCTTCTTCCTTTCTCTCCTTCGATCGCAGGAGGAGGGAAGGAGAGCACGAAGAGACCCGCTTCGTACGAGTGCCGCGTGTCGACTGCTCGCCGCTATGATATCGCGTGTGCATGTATATATCCAACGAGTTCGCTCCCCCCGCGGCGCGCCGCGCAATGCGCGCGCGAAGAGAGCGAGCGAGAGCGACAGAGAGCGAGCGAGTTGAACTGATTGTGAGCAGAGCCGAGCTGAGCGTTAGGTGTCGTCGAATGGGGTGAATTTTCCACGTAAGAGTAACACGCGTAGAACATCCTGATCTTCGATTATCCGTAATTCCGATTCCTAGGAGACATTTAAAGGACGTCCGGATTTCACATCATGAAGACTGTAAAGAGATAAATGCATTCGACAAAATCTCCGTACGTATTTCAATCCTAATACATATAAATTCATATTATTCTTATTTGGGAAGATATAACGATTGCCTTATCGTTAAAATTGTTGTTTGACTTTTGCTGATTTGCTTAAAAAATGTCAAAAGACATCTATTTATAAATGTGCAGGAGAAAACAGCAGCAAAATACATAAATAAATTTATGTAATTTTATACGTTTATGTGTATTATTGATATTAAATCTTTGTTACACGATGAGTCATTTATGTCCGGAATTAAAATTTATCACTTTTACAAGTATATAAAAATTATTACGTAATTTTTATACATATACTTTGACATCTTTAGATAGTACTTGTAGAGTTGTGTATTAAAAAAATTGTTATATAAACGTTATAATTAATTTCTTGGTGCGTCTACATAGTATTTCATAGAAAAGAAATACGTACGACACGAATAACCCAATTGTGTATTTTAAAAGTCAAGTATTAATTGTTAAAAGTAAGCAATTGTAATTGTAACAATAGAAATCTTCATTATTTAAATGAGAATCAATAAAGATTATACATATATCGATTATTAATTATTAATTTTATGTGACTTATAGTTAATAAGTTATATATAAATTTTTAAATAAAAAATGTGATATTTCTTTGTAAAATTCATAAATCTATGCATGTACGTTTAAATATAAATTGTTGCTAAACTATTGATAAATCTTATGTATGTACGTTTTTTTTTCTAAAAGAAAAGCAAAAATATTATCTTTTTCTTATGAAAATTTTAGGCAGCGCATAAAATTGGAATTTGTCAAAGATAAAAATGTTTCTCAAATCGACTCTAAGCTGAGAGATACTGTAATTAGTTATATCTCATACAAAACGAATGCGAAGGATTGTTCATAAGATTAAGAATACATAACATTTAACGATTCGATTCCAGTCATTGAATTCCATTCCGAGATATCCGGTAGCAAGTCCGTCTCCGTCTGTGTCTCGAGTGTCCCTCCGGTTTTTTTCATTCCCTCGCGATCGCAGAACTCGTCTCCTCGCGGCGGGCCAGGTAAAGGGCCGGCGCTTCTCGGAATTTTGTGCACCGACTGCAACCGCTCGAACGTGGAGTCGGCGAGCGAGATCCAAGAAAATGACTCCCGACTCTCCCGAGCGATCTTCTTCTTTCCTCCGTTTCTTCCTTTCTTCTTCCCTATCGAATCTCCATCCTCCCGTCATCACGTCTCGCCTTCCGGCCTCTTGCGAGTACCGTTCTTCTTCTCCACTTCAGACTATCGTCCCGTCCGCTCAAATTCCCTCATCATCTCCGTCGAGATGCTAGCTATCTCGCTTCTGTTCTCCAGCAGCAAAAATTTATCTTCTGCGAAGACTTCTGCACCAAGATTCAAATTTAGACTACCGATCGAATTTTGATTCCTCTGGGATTCCCGAGATTTATAGGATTGTAGCAGAAAAAAGCAACTGTTGTAAAATTCTCTGCTTTAGTACGCGCGCTGTTAAATTTATAATGTTGAATTATACTTATTATATAATTTGAATTATTTTTAATCTCATTTCTATAGGTCGTCATTGCTCCTATTTAATGTCATTTATTTAACTGAAATAATGAAGTTAAACAATTTAACTTAAGAAAATATATTAAATTTGATTCAAATTTAGTTTATCATTAATTAAGTGTTACTATGAATATTGTTTACTTTGAAATAGAAATAAATTGATTTACATTTTGACATACATGGAAATTAAAAATAACAAGATGTTACATTTAACTCACAGAAAAAAATTTTGCAACTATCGTAAATTCTTTAATACCATTGGTTTATACCTTCAGATTCAACGAGACTTTAAGAGCAAAAACCAATCATGCTAAAAATCTTACAACAGTTGCAGCTTTTCTGCAGCCATTAAAAGCAATGTACCTTTTGGCGCGTCGCGACGCCTTAAGTGCATCGGCGTCTAAATTTCAATTACGCGAGATGAAATGTAATAAGGCGATCAAATCCCCACCTCTTGTCGTATAATCGTTAAATATATTATATGTTCATCATTTGAAGTCTAATTATGAAGGCGCGATCCAGAGGCATGAAGCAAAGATGAAGGGTTTTCAGATTTGTCACAAATTTCTCATTTTAAAATTCCATAACTTCTTCCTGATTTCAAACAAAATTTCATGATTTTCCCTGACTCAATAATATCTTGAAATTTTTTTATTTTCGTTCTGATTTGGAAAGAAACTGTTAAATATTTTGTTGAAAGATCAATTTAACATACAGCAGTGCAAATTACAATTCTGTTAATGCTGGCATTGTTTGCATTTTTACTTGTTAAGTTGATAGTATTCTAAAACTGTTAATATATATAAGTATGACGTACATTGAACTTCTTTAAAGCCAAGAATTTTAATTTTCCAGAAAATTTGGTAAAATTCCCTGACTTTTCCCTGATTTCTCTGATTGTTTTCAATTTCCCTGACAATTCCCTGTCCAGTTACGTGGCAACTCTGGTTTCAAAAGTGGAAATCAAAACAGGAAAAACTAGCAAAGCGACCCTCCTTTGCATCCACGGAAGTGCGGGATAGGAATTATACATCCGTGCTGACCTCCGACCCGTGATTATTCCAATCGCGTAACCCCGCACGCGCGCGCGCGCGCCTTCGATTTTCTCATTAACGTTCCACTTAGCCTTTCTTCCGGTGATAAGCGGCAGGTCGCAGCCTCGGCTTTCGTCAGGTTCTATCATTTATCTTTTGCGACAACACCGTTTTTCTATTTATGTCTGTACAGAACGCGAGCTCCGTCAAGAGACGATTATGAGAGACTGATGCAAGTACTTTTGCATCGTAACGAGAGACGATGACTGTCTCGCGACATCTCGATTCCCACGTCGACTAAAGATCCAAGATCTGCAGATGCGATCTCCTAGAATCGATTTCTCGATGGGATGTGACAAACGTAAGTCGGAACAGGATTTTGCTCGAAAAGAATTAATGCGAACTTTCGCTCTTGAAAAGATCTAGTATCTATTTGTTAACAATTTCACCGAAAAGAGTGCACTTTTATCGTGATATGAAATCGTAAATATAACCCATTATAAATTATAAATAATGAAATAAAAGCAACGTGAGTTTCCGTAAAGATATATCAGTTTTTAGACCAACCAAGAAATTAAATAAATAAGTCAGACTGTAAAAATTTTTTTACAAGTCAGCTTTGTACAGAAGTCAACTTGCCGAAAACAAGTTTACTCGCAAATTCACGTGTATGTAATAAGTGCCTTCATATATGTGTAATTTAGTTTTCTATGTAAAAATAATACACTATTCTCTCTCTCTCTCTCTCTCTCTCTCTCTGTACACACAAAAATGGATTTACACATTTAAACGTGTAGTATAATGTATTTTTACATAGAAAACTAAATTATATACACACATATGAGGGCACTAATTACATACTCGAGTTTACACTGCAAATCCAAGTGTATTATAACTTAATAAATGCTTTCATATGTGCATGATATGTGTGATCTAGTGTGTTTCTGTGAAAAATTATAATACATATATTATTATACACATTTAAATATGTAGCATAGTGTTATTTTTATATATAAAACTAAATTACATACGCACACACACACACACATACACATACGCACATACATGAAGATTAATTACACACTTGGATTTGTAGTGTAGGGTCTCCAAGGAAAGTCCCGCGGGTTTTTCATACCTGCACGACAGACCTATTGTGGCAGGTTATTAATCGAGGAGAAAGTCAGCGGAAAATTTAATCATAAAAAAGAGCGGACGGAATCGATCGTACGAGGACGTGACGATCCGGGCTTTACGCGCGTCCTCCTAACGGAGGTCGAAGTTCTCACATATATGTAACGAATGGCGGTGGGTGGTGGTACCTGATGGGGTAGCTATTCTTCATCCTTTTCTCTCTTTCTCTGTCCCTCCGCCAGGTATACACAGATCGAAGAAAACGAAAGCGTGACCGCGACGGAATCCCCGAATGAAGTCACCTCCCGGAAATCGCCGATCGATGCCGGGACTACGGTCGCGCGAG